AGATGCTGAACCATCTGAGCCACCCAGGCGCCCCTAGACTCTTTACATTTAATATGATTGTTGACATAGTTAAATTTAAAGCTAAGTTTAAAGCTTGCTATTTGTTTTCTATTTATCCCATTTATCTTTGGTTCCTTTTTTCTCTTTTTCTGCCTCCTTTCGGTTTAATTGAATATTTTCATGTTTCCATTTTATTTCCTTTTTTGGCTTACTAGCTATAATTCTTTGTTTTGTTACTTTAGTTATTGCTTTAGGATTCATAGTATGTGTCTTTAACTTATCACAGTCAACCTTCAAATGATATTATACCACTTCACGTATAGTCTAAGAACCTTCCAATGGTATACTTCGCTCTCTCCCCTCTGACTTATGCTCTGATTGTCATACATATTACTTCTAAATATGTTTAAAAAAAAACACACATTACATCGTTTTTGTTTGTTTAAACAGCGAACATCTTTTTAAAGAGCTTTAAATAACAAGGTAAATTCTTAAATGTTTATCCATGTGGTTAACATTTCTGGTGCTCTTTATTCATTTGTGTAGATCCAGACTTCTTTCTGGTATCATTTTCCCTCTGCCCGAAGAGTATCATTTAACATTTTCTCAGAGACGTTCTGCTGATTGTGAATTCTTTTGCCTTGTGTATGTTTAACAAATTCTTTATTCTGCCCTGAGCTCTGAAAGATATGTTCACTGAATATAGAACTCTAGATTGATAGTTTTTTGTTTTTCAGTACTTAGATGATATTCTCTGCCACCTCTCTGATTTCCATATCATCTCTGCTGGAGGCTGTTCTAACTGAAGCAAGGATAGTTTTTAAAGGAACACAATATGATAAAGTGCTTAAGAATGAAGGCTCCACCTAAGATGAAAAACCAGTTTACCACTTAGTAGTTCTTTGACCATGGATGAGTTATTTAACCTCTGTGGCCTCAGATTTTCCATATATAAAATGGAGATGGTGCTAATACCTCCTTTCTGAGCATACCACAAAAATAACATAATGCAAGTAAAGCCCCTGCCATTAAAAAAGCACAGAAGTCAGATATTAAAGACCTAGGAAGCAGAACTTACATTGAATTCTAGGGGAAAAAAGCATCTGGCTGGCTCAGTCTGTAGAGCATGCAAGTCTTGATCTCAAGGTTGTGAATTCAAGCCCCACACTGGTTGTAGAGGTCACTTAAAAATAATTTAAAAAAAAAAGCTCTTTTAAAAAATGCTAAGAAGAGATAGGATTATTTACCCAGAGGACATAATCTCAGCTTTCTTCTGAGGGACAGTTTACGATAGATTAAAATTGTATCAATGAGACGATAACTATAATTTCACAAGACCTTGGGTCATTCTGAAACCAATCCACATAAACTGTGCTACCTTGGAATAGAACAATTCAAGAACAGGGGACAAGCTGCATTGCTGCATCAATTTCAGTCTTCCATTTTAGCTTCAATAGACTAACTTAAGTTAGCATAACCTCGACCTCATGGCAACATCGTCTCAAGAGTTGACTAAATGTCTTACTGCTAAGCAACTGTAGGAAAGGGTTTTCATGGGATTCCTCCTCTCTTAGGGCTCAAAACACGTCATATTAATATTGAAAAAATAAAAACCATAGCATATTTGCTTATGAACAAGATACTAAGCATAGTCATACTGTCAGAGTTAGAGAATAAACAAGAGTCTCAAAATATTTGGTATTATTGTGGAGCTGTCCTGATGGATTGTTCCTCAACAACAGGCACTTATTGTTAATCTTCTTCGCATATAATTCCTTTTACAGAGATAGACAATTTTCTGAGCAGATGCAATTACTAGTATGGAGGTTTCTTTGTGAGGATAGTTAGAAGGCCCGTACAAGTTCTCTTATACTTGCCTTTCTCCCTGCTCCCATCCTTCTTCCCCCCGACCTGAGGCAAGGATGTAAATCTTGCATTAGTCAACAACACCAAAGTGGTTTTTAGTATGACTTTCTTTGCAGAATGTGTTACATCTGCTTTCTTATATTCACACATATGCTCTTCCTTTCATCTGCCTACTCAAATCTTACCCGTCCTTGAACACTTCGGAAGTTCTCCTTCACTATTCCAGCCCACATGAATCCTCCTCACAGTCAGAGCCCTTAGTTAGAGAAGGCTGATATTTCTCATCCATTGTTCCGAGACAACCTCTCCTCTCCTCTTAGTCTCTCAGCTCAACAGTAAGCTGCTCAGGCCGTGGCTGTTTTTTGAGTACTTTTGTCTAGCTTATTAGAAGGTGTATAATAGATATTCAGTGAATATTTAAGGAGAGACAGAGTGATGGATTTCTGGTGGTGTCTTTCTGTGAATGCTTCCTATCAGGATTCATTGACAGTTTCAGCAATAAGTCCAGACCTTCAGTTTCGCATCTTTATCATATGAAATCTCCTATAAGATTTCACTAATATGAGAAGGTTTGAAGAGTGGTATATATCAGTGTTTTCTTTATATGTCCACAGTATTTGAACTGTAAGTATTAAAAGACACACACACACACACACACACACACACGAGACGGGTAGATGTGAAGGAAGAAAGGAGGAACACAGGAAGATTAAATGCAAACCAGATAACTCTCCGTATTTTAAAGGACAACAAAAAAGAACTCTCGTGTCAAAAATTTTTCATCTTTTTTTTTTATACAGATTTCTTCCTGAACGTGCCTTGGCAGCTATAAATCACTTACAGAACATTCAATTTGAAGCAGTGATTGGCCACAAAATCAAAATGAAATGAATAATTGAGCTCCAGCCAGAGATGTATGCACCTTCATGATGTAAACCTAAGTTTAGAATCAATGCTTCAAAGCTTAATTTCACATTTTCAATACTGTTCATATAACAAAAAAAACATTAGTTTGACATCAGCCGCAGTCAAAGGAACAAGACTAATTACCTGTCTTTCTCAAGAATATTAATGTAGCTTTCACAGTCAGATCCATTCTTCGTTCCATGCCCCTTAAAAACTTCTATGCTTACATAAACATACTCAAAAGGCCTCTTTTCTTCAGATATTTTATTTTTTTCCTTTCTGCTTCAAGGGGAACAAAGCCACCTCCTTGAGAGTAAATACAAAGAGAAGTTATTTACACGGGGAAGGCTGAAGACCTTGTCAACATGTACACCATGTGAGCTAGCAGTTGGGAGGCGAGGTTTAAGCAGGCCGCAGTGCTCCGAAGGACAAAGAGGCTACTTCTGTGCAATTCAGCATTTGGAAGCTTTCACTGGCTTCTCCCTTTTCAGCAGCCCCACACAGCGCAGCGGTATTCTGTAGTTTCTTGCTTGATTCTGTCCTTTGTATAGCTCTTCTATCCACCAAGAGTGGACACTATACTTTCTGCCCTTTCCATAACCTCTGAAAATACTATGACATTACAAAACCTGACTCTCTTTGAATCTCAGAATATCTGAAATTTTAACCCCAGGATAAACCCCTCTTTCTTTGTAGTTTATGCTTTCACATATCATTGGTACCAGAGACGGTGAGATAGTTTTGAGCTTCAAAAATGAAAACTAACACAGAAAAAAGAATTAGGCTGACTACCCAATACTCGACAGTAGATCTAAGAGATAAATGAGTGTTCTCTTTAAAGATCTGATTCCCACTACATCAAGAGTAATCTTTTTTGTGTTTTTCTCATATATAATAGACTGCTTTTACATCAACTATCTGCCTGTTTTTATTAAAAATGAATGATTAAAAACAAATCATTAATAAAAATTTCTTAAAAACAAATGATAAATATGTTGTGCTTTTTAAAAAAATAACCTCTTGTGGTTATAAAATAGAGCTTTGATTTCTAATCTCTCAGTCTCGGTGAATCTCCTTCAGGAAGCAAGGATCTGGATGGTAATAGCTAGAACTAGCAGATATTAAGGGCCCCAGGGTTCTCTCAACTTTGGCTTCTTTGACAGTAGGAGTGTTGGTTTATCACATGACTTACTAAATCCTTTCTGTGTGTGGCACTGAGCAGAGTTTTATTGTTTTGAGACTTTTTTTTTCCTAGATATTTTGGCAATAATTCTTATTCATGACGACATTTTATTTTTTATTTTTTTTAAAGATTTTATTTATTTATTTATTTATTTATTTATTTATTTATTTGTCAGAGAGAGAGAGACGCGGCCCCATGATGACATTTTAATTCCTTGCTTTAAAACTAAGAACTGTAGGGACACCTGGATGCCTCTGTCAGTTAAGCGTCTGCCTTCAGCTGGGGGTCATGATCCCAGGGTCCTGGCACCCAGCCCCACATAGGGCTCCCTGCTCAGCAGGGAGTCTGCTTCTCCCTCTGCCTGCCACTCCCCTTGCTTGTGCTCTCTCTCGCTTGCTCTCTTTCTGACAAATGAATAAATAAAATCTTTTAAAAAATAAATAAAACTAAGAACTGTAGAAGTGAAGCTTAAAATGTGTTATTTTAAAAGTGTGATTACAAAACTTCAAAAGAGAAATATGTAAAGTAGAAAATATAAGCCTACCTCCCACAATCCCATTCCCCAGCGGTCAGGTTATTCATGCACAACCTTCTGGTCATTTTCTAATGCATATACAAGCATATATATGATAAATACATTACATTCTTTTATTGTATGTTTTACTGTTTGTGTTACATAATAGGTTGATAACATGCATTATGTTCTGTAACTTGTTTTTTTACCTTACCAATGTATCACAAACAGCCTTTTCTCTCAGTAGACTTTAACCTCATCCTTTTTCTTGGGCTCACAGTACTAAATGATATTATAATTAACAATTCCTTTGTAATAGACATTTTGGATGTTTCCAATTTCTTATGACTCAACAAATCCAAAAAGGTTGAAATCATATCATGCGTATTTTCCAACCACAACAGTCTTAAACTAGAAATCAATCACAGGAAAAAATCTGGAAAGAATACATATACCTGGAGGCTAAGTAACATGGTACCAAACAATGAATAGGTCAACCAAGAAATCAAAGAGGAAATCAAAAAATACATGGAGACAGGGGCACCTGGATGACTCACTCAGTTGAGCATCCAGTTCTTGATTTTGGCTCAGGTCACGATCTCGCGGTCGTGAGACTGAGCCCTGTGTCAGGCTCTGCATTCAGCCTGGAGTCTGCTTGAGATTCTCTCTCCCTTTGCCCCTCCCCTCAACACTCACATTCTCTCTCTCAGATAAATAAAATATTTTTAAAAAAATACATGAGACAAATGAAAAGGAAAACACAATGGTCCCAAATCTTTGGATGCAGCAAAAGATGTTTGAAGAGGGCAGATTATACTAGTATAGGCCTACCTCAGGAAGCAAGAAAAATCTCAAACAACCTAACCTTACACTCAGAGGAACTAGAAAAAGAAGAAAAAACAAAATCAAAGGCCAGTAGAAGAAAGGAAATGATAAGGAATAGAGCAGAAATAAATGAAATGGAGACTAAAAAAATAAAGTCGAAGAGGTCAAGAAAACCAAGAGCTAGGTCTTTGAAAAGATCAAGAAAACTGATAAACGTTTAGCCAGACTCATGAAGTGTGTGTGAGGGGTGGGAATCAAATAAAATCACAAATGAAAGAGGAGAAATAGCACAGAAATACCACAGAAATACAAAGGATTATAAGAGAGTATCATGAACAAGTATATGCCAACAAACTGGACAACCTAAAAGTAATGGATAAATTCCTAGAAATATATGACCTTCCAAAACTGAATCAGGAAGAAATAGAAAATTTGAATAAACTGATTACAGTTTGTTCAAATGAAATTGAATCAGGAATCAAAAACTCCCAACAACAACAAACTCCCAACAAACAAAAGTCCAGGACCAGACGGACTCACAGGTGAAACTACCAAATTTCTTTTTAAGATTTTATTTATTTATTTGACAGAGACAGAGTGAGAGTGCAAGCTGGGGGACAGAGGGAGAGGGAGAAGCAGGCTCCCCGCTGAGCAGGGAGCCCCATGTGGGACTTGATCCCCGGACCCTGAGATCACAAGCTGAGCTGAAGGCAGACGCTTAACCAACTGAGCCACTCAAGCATCCCTGAAACTACCAAATATTTAAAGAAGATTTAATATCTATTCTTCTCAAATTATTCCAAAAAACAGAAGAGGAATAAAAGCTCCAAAATTTATTCTGAATCCAGGATTGCCATGGACACCAAAGCCAGACAAAGACACTACAAAAAAAAAAAGAAAGAAAGAAAGAAAGAAAACTAGAGCCCAATATCTCTATAGAACATAGATATAAAAATCCTCAATAAAATATTAGCAAACTAAAAACAATATATTTAAAACAATTATTTAGCATGATCAAGTAGGGTATATTCTCAGGATGCAATGGTGGTTCAATATTCACCAATCAACGTGATGCATCACATCAACAATAGAAAGGATAAAAACCCTATGATCATTTCAATAGATGCAGAAAATGCATTTGACAAGATTCAACATCCATTCAAGATAAAAACTCTCAATAAAATGGGGTTAGAGGGAATATACCTCAACATAATAAAGGTCCTATTTTTTTAAAAACCCATAGCTAACATTATAATCAGTGGAAAAAACTGAGAGCCTTTCTTCTAAGATCAGGAACAAGACAAGGATGTCCACTCTCACCACTTTTATCCAAAATAGTACTGGAAGTCCTAGTTGCAGCAGTCAGGCAAAAAAAAGGGGGGGGGGAATAAAGGTATCCAAATTAGTAAGGAAGAAGTTAAACTGTCACTATTTGCAGATGACATGATACTATTGATAGAAAAGTTTAAAGACTCCACCAAAAAACTACTAGAACTGAAAAAAAAATTCAGTAAAGTCACAGGATATAAAAATATACAGAAATCTATTGCATTTCTATACACTAAGAATGAAGTAGCAGAAAGAGAAATTAAGAAAGCAATGTCATTTACAATTGCACCAAAAATAAAACACCTAGAAAGAATCTTAACCAAGAGGAGAAAGACCTACACTTTGAAAACTATAAAGCTTTGATGAAAGAAACTGAAGATGACCCAAACAAATGGAAGGATATCCCATGCTCATGGATTGGAAGAACCAATACTGTTAAAATGTCCATACCACCCAAAGCAATCTTCACATTTAATGCAATCCTTATTAAAATACCAACAGCGGGGCACCTGGGTGGCTCAGTTGGTTGAGCGACTGCCTTTGGCTCAGGTCATGATCCCGGAGTCCCTGGATCGAGTCCCGCATCGGGCTCCCTGCTTGGCGGGGAGTCTGCTTCTCCCTCTGACCCTCCCCCCCCTCATGTGCTCTCTCTCTCTCTCTCATTCTCTCTCTCTCAGATGGATACATAAAATCTTTAAAAAAATAAAAAATAAAAAAAAAATACCAACAGCATTTTTCATAGGACTAGAACAAGTAATCCTAAAATGTGTTTGGAACCACAAAAGACCCAAATATCCAAAGCAATCTTGAAAAAGAAGAACAAAGCTGGAGGCATCACAATCCCAGGTTTCAAGATATGTTACAATGCTGTAGTAATCAAAACAGTATGGTATTAGCACAAAAATAGACACATAGGTCAGTAGAACACAAGAGAGTCCAGAAATAAATCCATGTTCATATGGTCAATTAATCTACAACAAAGGAGGCAAGAATATGCAATGGGAAAAGACAGTCTCTTCAACAAAAGGTGTTGAGAAAACTGGACAGCCACATGCAAAAGAATGAAATTGGACCATTTTCTTAGACCATACACAAAAATAAACTCAAAATGGATTAAAGACCTGGAACCATAAAACTCCTAGAAGGAAACATAGGCAGTAATTTCTTTGACATTGGTCACAGAAACATTTTGCTACGCGTATCTCCTGAGGCAAGGGAAACAAAGGCAAAATTAAACTACTGGGACTACACCGAAATAAAAATTTGGCACAGTGAAGGGAATCATCAACAAAACAAAAAGGCAATTTGCCAAATGGGAACAGATATTTGCAATTGATACATCCAATAAGGGGTTAATATCTAAAACACAGAACTGATACAACTTAACACCAAAAAACCCCACAAATAATCCAATGAAAAAAATGGGCAGAAAACATGAGTAGACATTTTTCCAAAGAAGATATGCAGATGACCAACAGACACATGGCAAGATGCTCAACATCACTTATCATGAGGGAAATGCAAATCAAAACCACAATGAGCTCTCACCTCACACCTGTCAGAATGGCTAAAATAAGAAAGTCAAAAATCAACAGGTGTTGGTGAGGATGGGGAGAAAAGGACCTTGTGCTCTGTTGGTGGGAATGTAAATTGGTGCAGCCAGTGTGGAAGACAGCATGGAGGTTCCTCAAAAAGTTAAAACTTGAATTGCCATATGATCCAGTAATTCCACTACTCTGTATTTACCCAAAGAAAATAAAAACACTAAATCAGAAAGACATGTGCATCCCTATGTTTACTGCAGCATTCTTTACAATAGCCAAGATATGGAAGCAGCCCAAGTGTCCATTGATAGATGAATGGTTAAAGAAGCCAAGATGTGATATATATATTTCCTGCTTTAATGAAACTCACATTCTAGCAGGTGGGGCAAACAATAGATGAGAAATATAATAAGAGAGTATTTAAAATAGCAGAGTCAGGGAAGAACTCTCTGAGAAGCAACATTTTGGGGCAGAAATATGTATTTCTTCATTAAGGCATGGCCCCTGCAAATACCTAGGGTGAAGAACATGCACATTCCAACAAAAAGCCAAACTTCTGTGA